CGTTGTGTGCTCCCTGCCACCCGCTCCAGTTAGTAACATGGCTGCCGCACGCTGGACCAGCTGAAGCTTCCGTGCCGTCTTCAAGGGCAGCCCCACGTAGAGAGCGTTGCAGTAATCCAGGCGGGATGTGACAAGAGCGTATGTGACAAGTATTTGAACCACTTACCTTTTTGGGGGGGAAATATTCCATAATGTTCAGATATCTCCCAATGTTATTTTAATTTTTACAATCATTAAGCAACTTTGGTAAAACCTAAAAAGTTTTACAATTTCATGCTTTCCATCAGCGAGGAAAGGAGGGATAAAGTGGGTGTGGGTAAGCGCAGCCATTGTTATAGTTTGTGAAGGCTAAGCCACCAATGGTAGAGATTGCAAAAGGCCCTGCTGTTAAACTACATTTCCCACACTGCCTTAATGCTCATTAGCCAAAATGGCCGAAGGACCCCTATAGCTTAATAGCTGTCTGTAGCAGTCTTCGTCTAAATATAAAATAAACTGATTGAATCAATCTACAAAGGTGTCTAAAGAGAAGGCCGAAAAGCAATAAGCAACACAAACTCTTGTTTTTTCTGTCATCCTTGCAATAAAGATATGTGTCCACCACAAAAGGGGAACCTCCATGAATCCCCACACCTTTGTTTTTGGCAAAATGTGTGCCTTGACTCCCCATGCCCTGTTTGCCATTATTTGCCACAATTTGCCACGAGTTTTCCTTTTTGCCATTTTTCCCTGACAGGGATCAAACTTGCAACCTCCCGGTGCTGGAGCGGTGCACTCTCTCAGGGAGCCACCAACTACTCTGTGACAATAGGGATTCAGAACTTATACTTATTCACTTATACTTATTCACTTCAAGGATGCCATCCATTTTGCTCTGTCTGCCCCTCTTCCTTTTTCCTTCCATTTTCCTTCCATTTTCCCCAGCATCATTCTCTTCTCCAGAGAAACCCCTTGATGGAGTTTCTCTGTATATGATTTCTGTTCTCCACCAATTTAACACAGTTTGTACCACACAAACAAAGTTTCTGGAATACAGCAACTACAGCAACTACCACCCAATGAAACAGGAAATAATACTTTCAAACCAGGAACAGATTTTATTTATTATTTTTTTAAAAATTATAACAATTTTGAAAATCTTTCCCTGGCAGGGATTGAACTCATGACCGCCTGGTTCTGGGGCAGTGCACTCTCTCAGGGAGCCACCAGCCGCTCTGTGGCAATAGTGATTCAGAGTTTATACTTATTCACTTCCCAGCGGGAAGCTAGTTCTTCTTTTCCCTCTAGCAGAGCCATTCTGGCCCCAATTCTCCAAAAACGTAAAGACATTCCTTCTTTCATCCCTCCCTTTAGAGTCCCCTAGGATTGATGCACCGGGGAGTCTGGCTTGCTAAGGTACTTTGGAAAACTACATTTCCCATGCATATAAAATTCGCCAAAAATCCATGGATGGGTCAAAGGTTATGAAATTTGGTGAGCTAACAGTGGTCCCTGTGTTTTACAACTGTAGCAAGTTTCATCAGGATTGGTCTAAAAATGAGGGAGGGAGAATCCCCTGAAAACAACACAGTGCCAGTCCTGTTTTTTTCTACTGTACATGCATGTCTGCCATGAACAAAGCAATTCGGAGGTTTTGGAAAGTTTTGAAATTATTTTTTTTAAAAAAAAAAATCCAGACGTGACTTGAGAATTGAACTATCAACATCCGAAACAAATTTTGAACTTTTTTTTTTTGGATCAAACAAGCCTACTAATATCCTTCCCTCCAGTGAGCAGTTGGGCTTTATTTCCTGGAGTATGGACTGATTTGACCATAAGGAAGGCTGAGCAAAGGAAGATAGGTGCTTTTGAACTGTGGTGCTGGAGGAAAATTCTTAGAGTGCTTTGGACAACAAGAAGATCAAGCCAGTCCATACTCCAGGAAATAAAGCAGGTGTGTTTATAGTAAATACACATTTCATATATAAAGGTCAAATCGAAAGGGCCAACTATTCAAGGATTCAGTGCTATCTGTATTCCTACAACAGTCTAATGTCATGATGGGGCAAGTAAATCTTAATTTTTCAGGGATTTCTTAAAGAGTTGTCATCTTAGTTTAGATTATAGTAATTGAATACTTGTCAATTTCTCCACAAATATAGCTATTTTCAGAGGTCATAGAATCCTAGAGTTGGAAGAGACCTCATGGGCCATCCAGTCCAACCCCCTGCCAGGAAGCAGGAATATTGCATTCAAATCACCCCTGACAGATGGCTGTTTAAAAGCTTCCAAAGAGGGAGCCTCCACCACACTCAGGGACAGAGTTCCACTGCTGAACAGGTCTCACAGTCAGGAAGTTCTTCCTCATGTTCAGATAGAATCTCCTTTCTTATAGTTTGAAGCCAAAGGTCAAAGTCGGTCATTTTTGTTACATTCAGTATTTTCAGTGGCTGTACTATGCCCCTCACCACTGCTTTTGCTTTTCTCTTTTTTCTTTTTATAGTGGTAGAATACTACTTAAGTTAAAAGTAATATTAAAATGTCACATTTTAACTTTCAGAAAATACATTTTGAACAGTGCATTGTTACTGAAGCTCCCATTCTGATCATAACAAAAGCTGCATGAAATGTTTATTTATTCTTTCATAGTGAATAGCCAGTGGGACATGGAAACAATGCATTTTATAAAGAGGTCAAAGCAATATAAACATCTTTAACTGTAGAGTATATTCATGGCCGAGCATTCCTGTACGTGAAGCATGTTTTCGAAATGTTTGTCTCATGTGAGTGTCTCTAAATGAAAACTAACCTTTGTTTTTTCTTCTGTTTTCAGTTAATGAAACTGATGACATTGGGCCTTTGCGGGAAATCAATATTACCAACCCGTCAACATTCAGCTTCAGACTTTCCAATCTGAACATCAGCACTAAATATAAGTTCTATGCAAGGGCCTGCACACTAGAAGGCTGTGGGAAACCAATCACAGAGGAAGGGATAACAATCGCAGAAGGCAGTAAGTTTAACAATTCTATGAGTTCAATTTTGATACCAAAATGTGTAGGTTCAATGCAGAGGAATGTGGAATATTTTTCTTTCATTTGCTCCTTTTAAAAAGCCAAATCCCAAACACTAATCATAAGCACCAAAACTGTGCTGAGTCCCAAAGCACTGACATTTAAGGCTTCATAAAGCAGCATAGTTTTGATCTCGTGCTCAAAATATTGCAGATCTACCATTTGGTTTTTGAAGTATTTGTGAAATTGCTTCCTGAGATAATTCTCTGAAGACATGGATTTACTTTCCATTTGCTCAGTGTGTGGAAGAAATGTCACCACTTTGAAGTGTCCATACCACTGTCTCTTAAGCCCAGAAAGGATTTGATAAAAATAGCAATGAATGAAGTTGTTCTAGAGTTTGTAAAGTTGTTTAACAAATGAATTCAGCACCTATTTATTATGTGGAAAAGTATCGATTTCAAAGGGATAAAGCAGTCTTGAGCTATTATCAGGTCTAAAATTATGGTGAACTTTACATTATTAGCTGAAGGCAAACTACTACTGTGGCCAGGGGTGAAAATGATTTAGCCACTCTTTCAACTTGTAATGGTCAGTAATTCACTAGCTGATCTACATTTAATTTCAAAACCATGAAGCCCCATTAGAACAATTAGGGCTGCTTCACTCTACTAAACTGCTACTAGATAAATAGCCTGGCCAGTCTACAACTCCAGCCCTGGGACTAAGAACCTGTGAAAGATTAATTGGTAAAATTAAGTGAGATTGGCACACCAATTTGCCAACGGGAACAAGATAAGCAGAAGATGCCCAAGTTCATCAATGCGGCTAACGTTTAGTGGTAATCTGGACAGGCTAGAATCAAATATTTTCTTGTGTTTAATGAGTTAGCTGATTTGGAAGTGACACAACCTATTTAGGCCCCAAATAAAGATGGGTAACCTCATCAAAGGTTACTCATTTTAGGAAAAATAGTCAAACAGATAGTCTGGTTTTTTTTAATAACTAGCAAAATGGAGATAGATAGATAGATAGATAGATAGATAGATAGATAGATAGATGATAGATAGAAAGATATCTTTTATTTTTTACTATATCTTGTTTTCTGTACAAATTCTAATCTGTGCATGAGATTTAGGTCTGATGTATTGAATCACTACCACAACCCTGGACTCTATATTGGAGGAAAGTCAAGATATACATAGATGCATACCTCCACCCACTACTGAATGGTATTACTGTTTGTGTGTGCTTGTATGGCCAAGGTAGAACATTTTTTCTTTTAAAAGGAAAGACAAATGTTACTGCCGATTGAAAAGTGTTGAAAAGATTCTTCAGTATTAAACAACTACCGGCCAATTTCCAACCTCCTCTTTTTGGGCAAGGTTCTTGAGTGGGTGGTGGCCTCCCAACTCCAGGAATTCTTGGACGAAACTGATTATCTTCATCCATCGCAGTCTGGTTTTATGCCTGGCCATGATATGGAGACGGCTTTGGTCACTTAGGTGGATGACCTCTGAAGGGGACTAGACAGGATGTGTGTGTCCCTGTTGGTTCTCCTGGACATCTCAGCGGCTTCTGATACCATCAACCATGGTATCCTTCTTGGATGGCTCTCTGAAATGGGTATTGGGGGCATTGCTTTGCAGAGGCTCTGCTCCTTCCTGGAGGGCTGGTCCCAGTTGGTGAAGCTGGGGGATACCTGCTCAGGCCCCTGGCCTCTGACCTGTGGAATCCTGCAAGGTTCCATTATATCCCCCATGCTTTTAAACATCTACATGAAACTGCTGGGTGAGGTCATCCGGGGTATGGGATTTGGTGCCATCTGTACGCAGATGACACCCAACTCTACACACCTTTCCACCAAACTCCAAGGAAGCCTCTCATATGTTAAACCAATGTCTGACAGCTGTGACTGATTGGATGAGGGCTAACAAGTTGAAACTTAATCCAGACACAGGTCTTCCTGGTCAGTCATGGGGCTGAGAACTAAGACAGGTATTGGGTGGCAACCTGTGCTCAATGGGGTTACACTCCCCCTGAGGACACAGGTCTGCAGCTTAGGGATCCTCTTGGATTCAGCGCTGTCACTTGATGCATCCAGATTGGACTATTGCAATGCACTCTATACGGGGCTGCCTTTGAATACAGCCCAGAAGTTCCAACTAGTACAATGGGCAGCAGCCAGGCTCTTAACCGGAACTAATTATAGGGGGTGCACAATGCCCCATTAAGACAGCTTCACTGGCTGCTGATTAGTTGCCAGGCCCAATTTAAGGTGCAGGCTATGATCTATAAAGCCCTATATGGTTCAGGCCCCACCTATCTTTGCAAACGCATCTCTCCCTATGAACCAGTGTGGAATCTAAGATCAACCGGGGAAGCTCTCCTCTTGCTCCTGCCACTGTCTCAAGAACAGTTGGTGAGGACAAGGGAGGGGGCCTTCTCAGTGGTGGCTCCTCGCCTCTGAAACACTCTCCTTAGAGAACTAATACAGACCCAATCACTCTCCTCTTTTCGTAGGGACTTGAAAACTTGGTGGTTTCATCAGGCCTTTGATAATGACTAGTCCCAGGCCCGAGGCTCCTGGCCATCAGTTAGGGCTCAGCTAGCACCTTACCTGTTCCCTCATTCCTCCTCTACATTGTGATACCGGTCATGGCCTAGACCTTCTCCTTCAAAATTATCAGAAGACCCTGGAAATAGTAGCCCCAGGCCTTAGGTCCACTCCCTGCACTTTACTCATTCCCCAACCTATATTACTACCATATGAGCCCCGTCTAGCCTTTTCAAACTGTCCTGGCCCACATACAAGGGGCCATCGGTTACTCATCTTTCACATTAGATTATTATGGAATCTGTTTGTTTTCATGCATAGTATTGTGTTAAAAGGTTATGTTTATATTTTAATAGTTTTATTTATTATTTATATAAAAGTGATTTCATGCCACCACATTGATTTGTCTGAGGCTTCTATGGAGAAATGAGGCAACCCTTAACCTATACAATCAGTTCATGGACTCCAAATTAGGAGGTCCTCTTTTTGAAGCCAATGAGGCAGGCTCTGGGATAATTTTGTTCCATTATAGATGGTCCTAAGAAACATCCACTTTCAGTTGTAGTATCAAGTTGTTGTGCCAACAAGCTTGCCATTATTTTGTGAGAAGCGTGAAACATAGCAGATGAACTTACTTTGTTGGGGGAAATAGTAATACAATTTGCCTTTTGGAAAAGTTTATCTTGTTTTGCTCACAGAGTCATACATTCTCATAAATCTCTAAATCCAAGAGAAATCATCTGAAATTGCAGTTCCACATTTAATACTCATGGAAGTAGCACAGTACAGAAAAAAGTAAAGGAGAACTGGTGGTCTGTTTCATTTATTGTTTTTACTATCTCTGAATGTTAACCAAAAAAAAAACCCCTTTAACTGCTTAAGTCTTCATTGATTTTTTTTTAGTGTATTGGCCATAACTATTTTACTACCAATATGTATTTGCACATATTTTTTATGATTTAACACATTGTTTTGCTGTAACTACAGTTGAATACTGACTTATCAAGTATGCATGTTTTGTATGCATAGCATATGATGATGATGGAGGCCTGGTTATTTATGGGGGTGGGGATCCTCTCTCCCCCCCCCCCAAAAAAAAATTACTGTCTATGTATTACTATGGGTATATCTACATTGGTCACATACCTTGAATTAAGCCAAAAGTCACTCTTGGACATCTAGTGTTCAGAGACTTCTGTCCGTAATGCAGTTAACCCAGTTGTACCCCATATTAGCAGAAGTTATGGAATGCTCCACTTGACCAGTTCTAATTCAGAACCAGTCCCACTTTTTAATGGGCCAGCTCTACCAGTTTCCCCCTATACATTTTGTATCTTTTGTCACTAAAACAGTGGCCACAGAGCTACGAGGAGCTCCTGGCAATCATCAGGCACCTTAACCTTCCCTCCCTCCAACTTGTGCAACTTTGATGGCATAGGCAAAGAGTTTGGCAATGGCCAGCAGCTCACCAAAGCTCCATGCTCACCACTACAGTGACAAAATATGCAAAAGATAAGGACTCTGCTCCCACCACTGCCCCAGTTCTGGAGTGGAGAGGTATAAACTCCTGAGCAGGATCCAGGGACATGAGGCCAGGAAAATGATTAGATTGAGAGGTCTGGAACTGGTTTGAGGTCGAGAAGGTAATTGCATTAACCACAGAACCTGTCCTTAACCTGCTTTATGTCCCCTTTTCTCTCCCCCCCCCCATTTCTGGTGAGATGCAAATCAGTGCCCCAGAGATATAGGAGGTAAAAAGAAGGCAGGGGAGTGACACGAGTGGATATTATCAATTATCCCTCTCAGTAAAAAAAATAATAATCCCTGCCTCAGTCTAGGAAATGTAAACTGCAGAGTACAATTCTATTAATGGCCCAGGGCTGGACATAGCCCAGTTGTCTAAGTGAGACTCCACATCTTCTTAAGGATTTTGTCCATTTGTGTCTGTTGCCAAGTAGAAGCTGAGCCTTTGTGATAATGAATAATATCACTTCTCCTGTAGCATCTTCTGAGATCTCCAACTCTGCTCTAGTCAGTTAGAGAATACTGAAGAACAATTTTTAAAGATCTGTGTTAAGAAACAAGAAGAAAATGGGAAGATACTTTATGCAAACACAAGACTCTAAATTGCTTTAAGTATGATCCATAAAACAATTTACGTCTCGTTCTTAATTTCTAGCATGCAACAAATCTTTACAAAAGCATGACTTCAATTGTTTCAACCTGATCCTACCACGAATTTGACCAAAAAGAAATACTATGACACTTAATATAAAATGGAGTTTCTTACTATTTTTATATCAGTTTTTGATCTTTTTCTTTCAAGTATTATTTGGTATGACAGAGATTGATACCGCAGATTTTATTTTTGCTTTATTACCCATTTGACAGCATTTCTATCAAGTGTGCCATTTAAGCTTTGTGTATTTAGAAAAAATAATAATTGTAATTAAAATATGACTTGTAATGACCTGCTGCTTAATTAGTGGTTTGATTAGAAAATGTAGTTTCAACTTCATGGAATTCATTTAGCAAAATCTACTCTGCCAGCTAGTTTCAATTATGCTAAAACCTTTTGCATCACATTTTGGTTTAATGCATCGATCAACATATTTGCTCTAACTCTCTGTGGCAGTATAATAATTAAAGTGCTGATTGTAATTGATGGATTGTTGTCTTGGAAAAACATATATTCTGTCTTTTTCTTTTTTTTTTTACAGTGTCCACAACATCTTTAATCTTTTCTTTTCCCCTTCAGTTGTCTTCTGACTACTAATCTCTCAAAGCTCCTGTTTGCTTGCTTTTTAGTTTTAAAACTAATTATCATTTCTTCAGTGTCAGGCAGGCAAATTGTCTTAAGGAATTGCAGGCTCTGATATATATAGATTTATAATGAATTAATCAACAGAAATACCTCATGCAGAATGGTCTTAGGACCTTAGAATATTATGTTAGATATTCTGTGTCCAATTCTGGGCACCACAATTGAAGGGAGATGTTGACAAGCTGGAATCCAAAGGAGGGCAAAGGAGGGCACTTAAAATGATAAAGGGTCTGGAGAACAAGCCCTATGAGGAGTGGCTTAAAGAGCTGGGCGTGTTTAGCCTGAAGAAGAGTATAAGTATGTGAGAGGAAGTTACAGGAAGGAGAGAACAAGCTTGTTTTCTGCTGCCCTGGAGACTAGGACGTGGAACAATGACTTCAAATTACAAGAAAGGAGATTCCATCTGAACATTAGGAAGAACTTCCTGAACTGTGAAAGCTGTTCAGCAGTGGAACTCTCTGCCCCGGAGTGTAGTGGAGGCTCCTTCTTTGGAAGCTTTTAAACAGAGCTGGATGGCTGTCTGTCAGGGGTGCTTTGAATGCAATTTTCCTGCTTCTTGGCGGGGGTTGGACTGGATAGCCCATGAGGTCTCTTCCAACTCTATGATTCTATGTTCTATTTAGTAAAAAGATTATTTTGTAAAAATAATTGCTTTAAAGTTTTCAATCTGAGTGAGAACTATTTGAAGACTCAAGAGTCTGTGAGAGTGTATCCAAATCCTATCTCCAGTATCGAGGTAGCACTGGACAACTCACTATTTTTGTTTCCTTTTGTCTTCTGTAGAACAAGAATGACATTCAATACACTTATGAAGTTTTTGATCCAATGGAATGATAAGAGAAAGTAATGATCTATATTTGCAATCCGGGAATAGTGAAAGATATTTATTTAGGATCTAGAATCAGAAATAAATCACCAAATAAGGAATAAAATTATCTAAACTATTGTGCTATTTCTTACTTTAAATTAAATTTGAGGTTGCTTCTGAGGACAAAAAGAATTACCGGGAAGCATTTTACAACACATAATTTGGTAAAGTTTTGACTGAAATCATGAAGAACCATTTAATTTTATGCATCAAGAAGGAGGAGTCTCTGCCCTCTGTAGTAAGTACACCTGAGGAAAAAATATGTTGCTAATTGGATCTTCCCCAACCTGAAAATTACAGGGTTTTTTTTTTTTTTTTAAAAAAACTTACTTCCCCAGTAACTGACCCCTATGGGATGCTATATGTTTTCAGAATTGCTTGCTTGATTATCTGAAAAAGCTAAACATTATTATGTTTCCCTGTACTGATTTTTCAAACTTCACAAGTCCTAACCGAATTCCCTTACTTGACATGATTCTGTACATTCCTTAGGTAAAGCTGTTGGGAAGATTTCTGAAGCAGTAAATCCCACCCCAAAGATTCAGCCTCTTGAGGCGCTTGAACCTGGAACTGCATACACAGTTCGACTAGTGACTAAGAACTGGGTTGATAATAATAGCATTTCTGCAGATGTAATTGAGTCAAGGGGGAGAGGTGAGACATTCTTAAGGCATCTAAGATAAGTAATATTTTTTGCAAAGTTGTATCAGAGACCATTATATAACAACACAACTCTATTTAGAAAGTCTGAACCCCCATCTACTGGTCTCGGTGATATATTTTCATTGATTTCAATAAAATCTCTCAATTTAAAATAGTCCAATTGCTCTCAGGGAAATTCCACTAAAGTTTTCCCTGACCTGGGGCACAAACCCCACGTGTGATTTTTTCAAAAATTGGATCTCAGGACTGCCTGGTACCTTTCAGACAAATGCAAGTGTGTCCCTAACATGTTTCATTTTACTGCTTTTGCATCTTTGCTGGATTATTTTCACCAGCCCAAGGTAATAACTCAGATTATTCGTAAGATGCCTAAACATCCAGTGAAAGTGAATCCTGATAGAGTATTTGCAGGAAAAAAGGATATGGAAAGAAGCATTAGAAATTCAGAAACCTTTTCTTTAAAAAAATGGGATGGTCAGTTTAATGCAGTGTTTTGGAAGAAAGCAATGCTTTAGGACTGAAGAACAGTCAATAATCTAGGGACAAATTTTAGAAATTGTGATTGATTAAAAGAGCAGCAGTATGTTTTCTTAGGTTCTGTAACTGAGAATAGATGAAAAATGTCAACATAGGAAAATCCCTGATCCTTCAAATGTTTTGGGTTGCAATCACCATCAGTCCCACCAATGTGACCAATAGTATGGGATTAGGGGAGATGTGGTTCAAAATACCTGTGAAGCCCATTGCTCTAGAGTGGGTAGTTTATGCCATATGGGTAGAGTTAAGAATCAGCTTTGTTTATTGTCTTCAAGAACAAATCTGAAATTATTTCAAAAATTTTCCACCATATGCAATTTGCAGTTTTTAGTCATTCTGTCCTTCTCGGGAAAGTAGATTGCTACTTCTTGCATTGCAGTTAGCTGAGCACTTGCATGTGTTCTGTACACTTTTGACTCTGTCTCTATTCTGCAAACCAACTTTTGCATGGAAGGCTTTCCTGAGTTCTGTATTGACTTTTCCTATTTGGCATGAATCTCTTTAATCAAAAGCTGTGTTGGAAATTCCCATTCCAAACATCAGTAGCGTGTATTGCTGACTCTTTCTTTTTCTTTAGTATAAATGTTTAGCTAAATGTTTAGTAATCCTACCATTCTTGGAATGCTGGAATCTATTTCAGCGTAGTTTTGAATGTGTTAAGGCATACAGAAGCAATTTTAAAGTAATACTATTTTGAATTTTACAATGAGGATTATTTTTTGTATTCACATCTTTTTTTTCATTCAAAGCTTATGCTGGAATTTATGAAAGAATCTCGACACAAGGCTGGTTTATTGGACTGATGGGTGCAATTGCTTTGCTGACCTTGTTGTTGCTTACAGTTTGTTTTGTCAAAAGGAATAAAGGAGGCAAATATTCAGGTAAATAGAAACTGTTCTCTCAACTTCAGCGTATTTAATTAATAATGTACTACTGTTGCATAGATCTGCCCCAAACATTAGCTTTTTGAGCTTTTTTCTTGTAACAAAATGTTGAGACACAGATTTGAAAATGATGCTCTACATGCCATTCCTACTAGACCTTCTGACATTGAGTCCTTGTTAGCATTTCCTTCTTTTCTAAGAAAAATATTTTTGGTTGTAGTAGTTTAACTTTTTTTCATTCCAACAAGCAATTTCCAGTTTAAGGAGCAGGTTTTAGTTCCAGACTTCCAGTGGGTTTCCTTTGCTAAGTGGTCTCCTAGAGTCCTGGTCCTGCACTCAACTTCTGCAAAAGTGTTATGGTAGACATAAGTAGGTTAAAGCTGTATACCCTTTGGGTGCTTCTAAACTGTAGAAATATTGCAGTTTGACACCACTTTAACTGCTATGGTTCAATGCTATGGAAATCATAGCAGTTGTAGTTTTACAAGATCTTTAGCTTTCTCTTTCAAAGTGGTCCCACCAAACTACAGACCCCAGACTTCTATAACAATGAGGCATGGCAATTAAAGGGAATGTCAAACTATATTATTTGTACATTGTAGATGCACTCCTAAAGATAATTAACTAGAACCAACTGAAAAGCATTTTTGGTTCATAATCAACCAGAACATTTTTATAAAAAGTAAAGGTAAAGATTTCCCCTTGACATAGTCTAGTCATATCTGACTCTGAGGGATGGTGCTCATTTCCATTTCTAAGCTGAAGAGCAAGCATTGTTTGTAGATAACTCCAAGGTCATGTGGCTGGCATGACCACATGGAGCGCCGTTACCTTCCCACTGGAACCCAACTCACATTTGTATGTTTTCAAACTGCTAGGTTGGCAGAAGTTGGAACTGACAGTGGGAGCTCACCCGGCTCCCCGGATACCAACCACTGACCTTTCGATCAGCAAGTTCAGCAGTGCAACAGTTTAACGCACTGTGCCACCGGGGGCTCCAAACTTTTGTATTTTTTTGAAAATTGTATTTCTTGGGATTCATACTTATTTCATTGCCACTTCTCCAATGATCATTCATATTTTTTTTTAAAAAAATGTTAAACATTGTGAAAAAAACGTTTTTTTATGTATATGCAGTGAAAGAAAAAGAAGACTTACATCCAGATCCTGAAGGACAATCCATAAAAGATGAAATCTTTGGTGAATATAGGTTAGTAGGACTTGCTGTTCTTCATAATGATGAAGGATTACCATAAACTATTTCATGGAATGCCTTTTTAGTAGGAGCACTAGGAGCAAAAATAATTTGCTATTTTCAGAGCAAATCTCATGGGATCATGTAATGATATTTAAATATATTAGAATACTGAAGTTCACACACATTTTATTGTTAGAGAATTGCTGGAGGAAATGGCACTTGGTTTTGATATGTTTCTTGTCTAGAATATTCTAAATATTATAATATTGATTTCATGCTGAGATTGGACATTTTGTTCAGTTATCCAATAGACAAATCCTATTGACATTTTTATGTACTGCAGTACATAGAAGAACATTTGATTTTCTTATTAAGTTCCTACTTTGCTGTTTTCTATAAAGTAGACAAATATGCCACCTATGCAATGGGACATTTCCCATTATTGTTGGGTGCCTTCAGCTCATTGAATCATTTGAAAGATTTATTCAGTGTTACAAATCAAGAGACAGAACTTTGTGGCTACATCCAAACAATGTCCTAATATATAAAAATAATAAGTCCTGCATAAATTAATATATATTTAATTTTAATGCTTTCTAATGAGGCAGATAATTAGAAAGGTAAGCAAGTTATTCAGGCTACATCATTCAGGTGAGCTTACCTTGTCTTGACCATACTTCTGACATGAGTAATACCTTACCTTTCCTTACTCAGCTAGATCCTTGAAATCTGTCTCCATACATACCTCCCAAATTAACTTGATCCTCTCATACCTTCTGTGTTGGCATTTCTTTCCTAATTAACATCATCAAAATGCAAGATTTCTCTGTCGGATAATTATCTAGTATAATATATTATGCTTCCAGATTATCTACTGTTAGTGATCCAGATCTGAATTATCAATTATTTGCTGTCAACATAGTTACTTTCACCTCCCAATATGGGAGTGGACATTTGACCTTGAGGTTTTGGACAGGTTCTTTTCTCCTGATATAATACTTGCAAGAAAAGATGTTTTGCTATTTTTGACATCTAAAATGTAATGAAACCTGTCAACAGCAAGCACGCCTAATTTTAAGTTACTGTGTATCACCCAAGCAGACTTCCTGCGGGGAAGGCCATCTGACAAGGCAGGGGGCACCCTCCTCCCAAAGAGGCATGGATGCCTGTTCCTCTGGCAAATGCAAAGAGAGGGAGGCAAGACCACGGTGCAGAAGAGAAAACCTTTATAATAAAACTAATGACATGTAGGCAAGGGGATATTACCAATGGGAAAATGTCACCCTGGAACTGAAAGAGTAAAATGAGGGCTGGCATCCTCTTCATTATTTATGATGTTGTAACATCGTCAGTAATGCTATTTATGCTTAAGATTGCCATACATTGCCAAAACCATAAATGCCCCTTAAGACCTACCATAAAAACCAGGCAACTCCCATATACACAGTCTTTATTGGCATACAACAATAAGATTGGCATACAACAAGTATATACAACAAGAGGAAATCTCAGATAAAAAGAAAGCATATTTAAAAGTTACTAATATCAAGAATAAAATTTGCAACATTCCCACAAATGAATGGATCAGATTTTTAATAATACCCTTGTTACTGAGAACATTGTGAAAAATGAAATTTCTGTATTTTATCTGTATATTATCATATTTGGGGCAGACAAACAAAGAATGATGAAATGTTTTAACAGAGACTAAGTCACCAGAACATACCCTTTTGGAATGTTCCACTTTTTGATATCTCCCATCCAGAAGAGCTGATGGCAACACATTACATTTTGCAGTCACCAAAGCTCTCCTCTGGGTGGGATTAATCAAAATGCAAAAATATGCTGCTATGACTCCACATTCACATGGAATTAATGATATGGTAGGGGAACAAGTTGTCTTTGTTGCAAGAGTCAGAATGAAGTCAAGATCCAAAGGTCTGCTCTTTACTGACTTGCAGGCTTACACATTTGTGAGTATTAAAAGTGCTTCCAAAGACAGGCCAATTTTCTGAGAATCAAATAATACAATTCAGAAATAAAATGATCTGATAACAGAGATGGAATATAGCTATCGAGATCTGCTCGAAAATGTATATGCAGCCACAATTTTATAGCTCTCATCCATGCCAAGGTTTCAAGAGTGGTTTGACCTGTCTCAGTGCATAGAATGGCATAAGGCACACATCTAGGGAGCCTACCTTAAAAACCAGGCAGCTGCAACAACTACATTCTGTAGCATTGGTATGGAGGATGCTGTAGGCACCATTCCAGTGAGCCACTTGTGGAAGGTAGCTGGATGCATTGTTCTTCCTTGCTGCACTTGCTAGCCTGGGAGAATTTTTTTAGTTGGTGCAGCTACCTGACTTTTAATGTGGGTTGGAAGGGGAAACGGGGTTAGTCAGGCTGGGAGAGAAGCAAATACACATACATACATACATATACAAACATACAAAAACACAAAAACAAAACAACTTCAAAAACAAAAGATTAAAAACACTTTTTCTAGAATAATACTACCCTAAACATAAAAAAAATCCCTATAACTACAAATTGCAAGTAATCTATTTTATTACTTTACATTCTCTGTCTGGTGTTTATATTATCTCAGTTTTCTACATACATGAAAAAGAACCATTGGTAAATCCTTTCTCATATAGTAACAGACCTCTAGTCCAAAAGAACAGTGATGTAGATTTGGCTCCATTTTTTATTGGGAGGACCAAAATAACTGGGCCCCAGTCTTTCTTAAAGCGAGTTCAGGGTTTCTCCTTAATTAACATAATAACTTTATCCATTTGAACAAGTTCACTTATTTTCAGAAGTCAATAATCTTGTAACAGAAGCATTGAATGTTTCCATCTTCAAGCATAGGTAATGACTTTGAGACAAATCTAACATTGACATCATAGCTATATCCCCCAGGAAAGACACAAGCCACTAGTTACAAATAATTTGGCTAATCAAAAGTGTTGTAAAGCAAATATCAAGACTACCTAGATTCAGTTGGACAATGTGCCACCCCTAGAAGTTGCTAGGCTGCAGTTCCAATTTTCCTTACCACACATTGTCATTTAAAAACATTTAGCCCAGCTCTGCTATATATATTACTAGAGACTAAATACACTTGCCAGTCCTAACTAAACTGGACCCACTAAAATGATAAATCAAATGATAAATCAAGATTTTATTCCAGTAGGGATTAACAAATTTATTTTCATCAATAGCTTTTTCTAATAATAAATAATTATTTGCTAACCCCTGTCCCAAAGAAAGTGCCACAAATGATAGAGTTCCATTGTTATGGCTGGATCTTGTAATGCCAGTCATTAAAATCCCATCTTTTAAGTCTGCCAATGCCCCAGTCAAAGGATTTCCAAGTGGTACATATTGGGGCACTGAGAAATGAAGGGGAGGACAAACAAAATAGTATTTTATTTTCTGAAGTTTTCCAGCTTCCGCACACTTGCCCAAATTCTGCCCGTCTTTGGGGAAGGGAGCTGATGGAAAGGAAAATCAGGGGGATGAAATCCCACCACTTGATTAGCAGACACTGTAAGCTTTTGTATCTCTGCGTGAGAATGAAAAGATAAGTATTTTTGGCACTAGCAACAGGAAAAGATTTTGGTGAGGTTGTTTTGTTTTTTAAAAAAACTTTGATTTTTAAAAAATTCTATAATGTGAAAAAAAATCATGAATATGCCCAAACACTTGAAAGAAATTCAAGTGTATTTGAATTTTCTTTCATTCTCATATGACAGAATGAAAAAGAAGAAGTTGTGTATCAATTATTTCACATGTCATGCACTGTGTAGGTAATTGTGAGGATTCTTCTTCGTTACACTTTCCCTGTTGTTGACTATGTGATAAAAAATGTTGCTTCTTCTTACAAATTTTCCTTCATTTTCAGTGACAGTGATGAAAAACCACTAAAAGGAAGCTTGCGATCTCTTGACATGGACATTAAGACTGCAGAGAGTGCAGATAGTTTGGTGGATTATGGAGATGGAGACCACAGAATGTTCAATGAAGACGGTTCCTTTATTGGCGCTTACACCGGATGTAAGGAGAAAGCATCCGTTGAAAGCATTGGGAGCTCTACAGCAACCTTTCCTCTCCATGCATAAAATATTAGCATGAATAATACATTTCAAGTCACCATATTTATCTTTACTAGTCATCAAATATCATATGAGTCAAAAGTAGGCTGCAGAGAAGTTCAAGACCACAGCATTCAGCCTATTTAGAAATAGGGATCTGACTTCAAAGCTGATTTGTGAAATTCTTATTTATCAAAACACAGGCATTGTGATTTCATTAAAATTTGTCTCAGAATTAAAATTTGGTAAGACATATGCCACTCGGCCTGACCAAAAGCACCACTACTTCAGTGCTATATATACTTGTATATAGGGACCTGAAATCTTCCATTATTAGTCCTATAGATATATGTAGCAGTGACAGCACTCAGGCAACTTACACTGGAATTATAGATAATGTTTTAGCTTGGTTTTTGGTAATGGGGCATTGTTTCCCTACTGTGATCCTACAACGAAAGTGTGCTATCAAATCTTGGATACATAGACCAGGATCCTGCAGAGGTGCTCTCCTAATAGAATGGTTTCTCTCAGCAAAACTATGAAATGGGCATTTTCCCCTCCACTTATTCTCCCAACACACACACATTGAAAACCCTCCAGTGCAAATTTCTGGGTAGTGTGGAAGTCTTCTCAGGCAGACTAGGTGAAAATGTCTTTTTGTCCTATCAATTGGCCAAAAATCTAGCACTAGATTTCAGCCATAGGAAAATGCAGCCAATACTTTGGGGACTGTTATCTAATGAAATCTAATCTAGTCTTTCTTTGTGTACAGTGGAGGATAAAGTGTAATCTGCACAACATATGTAGTTTATAGGGTTGTTTTGCAGCCCTCACAAATAAAATAGAAGTTTTCAAAGAAGTTTTTTAAAAGAAAAAAATCTGAAATCCTTTCTATGGGGTGCGAGAGGCTTTTTTTGCCACTTTTGGCCACATCTCTCGGGCCAATTTAATTCCACAAGAGAACTTTTTCTGAAACAATATGTGAACCAGGAGTGACTTCTGCTCACTTTCTGTTGTTTTTCAAAAAGGCTTTTCTTAAACCTAAAATGGTCCATTGGGATCTAAAAACATACCCCAGAAGGAATTTTGGGACAAAATAATTTTCTTTTTTCTTTTCTTTTTCCTTTCCTTTTGTTTTCTTTTCTTGGAAATATACAGTGCAGGGTATAGCATGTCAAGATTTGCTGAGGCTCCATTACCAAATGTCTTGTCAGTAATGGCAATTGCTAGTGTCCTAACAGTGACCTACAAGTTTCTCATTAGCCAGAAACTGGTCAGAAACAATATGAAGTGCTACACATTCTGGTAACTATGTTCTAAAAACTTGTTGGGGACATTGTTACTCAGGAGACTGAGCTTTGAACAAAAAGTTCCCCTTTCTTGTATGTTTTGTGCTTCTGTATATACATTTCAAACCACATTCCCTAAAAATGTCATGTAACATCATTACAGAAATCAGGTTCCAGACAGAAAAAGCGGCATACATTATTACTTTAGACAAATCACAAAAGAACACCCCCAAAAAGAAAAAAAAAGCTTCACACCCTTTTTATATTCCCCCAAAACATCCTGGTTGGTTTTGAAATCTATATTCTGTTTTGATGGCCATTGCTGCAAGATGCAATTTTTCTATCTGCCAACAATGTGATCACAAAGTGGTTGAATCTTCTCTCTCTTTTGCCCACTAGCTGGCACTCTTTCTTTATGAAATCAGCTGCAATAACACTCTATTTGTGGTTGTGGTAAGCACGCAGCTGATATAGAGTCCTTGAGTACAAGCAGAAATAGATTCTTTTTAAACAAATTGACATCACTACCCCATGTATATATTTATATGCCTGCATACCTTTTGTGAATTTTTGTACATATTATGTTTATACAAATTCTTTCAGGTGAGCCACATTCCTTTTCTTTTACAGTAAAATAACAATTGATAGAACAGGGCATTTCAGCTCAGTAGCAATTGTTGTTTTCTTGTCTCTATGATTTTTTATATACATAAGGTTAATTTTCCATATAAAGCACATGAAGCCTTCCTTGTATTACTTTAAAAAAAAACCCAACACCACAAGTTATTCCCATTCAAATCCCCAAGCATGAATATTTTGAAATTCTTTTGAGTCTCAGCTTGATTTCTGCTGAATCAAAGCAAATGCCATTACCAAAAGGGCCTATAAATGACTTTTTATTCCAGCAGAATTCTGTCTTTGGTGTGTAAAACAACTGTCTCCTGAAGCTATATTCATTGAGTGATACACAAAAGTCATCATGCTAATTGCAGTGATAATGGAACTGTTGCATGAAAAACAATCCTGGGGTAACCTCAGTATTCTATGTGAACCCATTTTTATTTGCTATTCAGACTTATTTCATAGTATTTGATAGACAAATATCAACAAATCTGACATATGCATTCTTATTCTGAGCATGTACAAATAAATCTTAATACTACTCTGGTTCTCTTTTAATGTTATTATGAATACAGTTGAGCCAAACCATGATCCTGAGCTAGTCCCAAACATTTCAGCTGGGGATTAGACCTACAAACCTAAATTGTCACTCCCGACTATAAGAGACTCAGCGAATCAATTGAATTCAGATATGTTAACTTACTTACTTTCAATGGCTTTACTCTATTCAGGACTAACAATTGGAATTAATTCTAGACATCTTTAAAGCTTACGTTAAAAAGGATCCCTAGACATAAGAGTCCTAATTATTTCAGAGACACAGTCAGTGTATTTTTGGCTAGGGTTTATTAAGGAGGTATTTTATTAAGGTTTTCAGGTTTGTCTATCCTGGCACAGAATGGAGGAATATGTTTCAACTCAGCAGTGCTAGTATACAAAGCTGCTAAAATTTTAACTTGATGCAGAGATGCAGCAGTTCATATTTTCCTTGTGTATATTCAATATCTGAGCCAGCATAACATGTGCCTTCTCTAAAGTAGCTTAAGAACTCATTTGATACAAATCATGGCATAAACTAGCTTCCATTTGTAAGACTATATGGTAGAATGTATGGGAAACCAACTAGCTTTTTAGTTACACCACAGAAGATATTTGATACCTGAGTGGAAAAACACTTAACAAGATACACAGCATGTGGGACACATGTGAAATTGGCAATTATAGTACCCATATTCTTGCATGGGTGCACTGCCATGCCCTTGCTTACCTGTCTTCAGCATCTGGATAGTACTGAGAGCAAGAGGTAGCCATCTTGAGTACCATTATTTTGACAGAAAGCTAGGATATAAATTTAATAAGCAAACAAAGGAGGAGTACTCACCACTAACTTTACCTCTTCTGAAGAATGGTACAGGTTGGACTCAAATGATTTTTTTTGTCGTGTCAGAAGCAACTTGAGAAACTGCAAGTCACTTCTGGTGTGAGAGAATTGGCCGTCTGCAAGGACGTTGCCCGGGGACACCCAGATGTTTTTGATGTTTTACCATTCTTGTGGGAGGCTTCTCTCATGTCCTCGCATGAGGAGTTGGAACTGATAGAGGGGAGCTCATCCACACTCTCCCCAGATTCAAAGAATAAGAATGCCTGAATATGTACTGTTGCCTGTGGAGGGCAGCTTGGGCATCCCAAAACCTGAAAACAACAGTGTCTTTCTGTGATCAGTTTTTGGGTACACAATTGGATTAGAAATCTTAGTACCATACATTCTCTGACACTATTTCACTGATCAGGCTAGAACATTTGTAAAAAATGGAATCCTTGCTCTGTTGAGAGATCTGATTTCCAAAAACCATGCTGTACAATCCACACAACCTTGTTGTCCATAATGTATCCAGTAGCCACTACTTCCATTTCCAAGGCTCGAGTTGATACTCCATAAAGTCTAGCTTAGGGTTCATGGAACAGTGGAGAAAGCATGAAAACACTCTGGACACACTTGTGGTTGGGGAAGATTTTCTGCCCATGTACCTCCTGGGAGCCTCATACAAGTGTCCAGGAATTGATTTCACATTTTGGAAAAAAAAAACTTTCTTTACCTCAAAACTTTCTTTCTATTAAACAATGCAGGAATAATCTGTGGCTTGTTTCAGAGATGAATCACTGTTCATGGGAGCTACCAAGAGAAGTCTGAGCTAAAGGAGTTCACATTCACTGTGCTACACTTTACCCATGCCTGTTGTACCCCATGAACTAGCATTTACAGGACAGTTTTCTAAACCACCCCCTTCCCTGAAATGCTTCTGTTGAATGGGAGAATAAACATGGCATACCCCACCATGGAAAATTAATCGTAGTCTAGCAGTATTGTTATCTGGTAACAGATTTTGCAACCTCTAGAGACTTGTTATCTGGTTCCATATGAACCACCACTAGTTTATGTCCTAGATCAAAACCTAGGTTCCATAATCTACACCTAGACCAGACTTTTTTTCTTAAGAATCTAAACCAATATTTACCATTTTGATCATCACATTAAAATGGCAGTATGTGGCATCCTAAAAATGATTTTGACAGTGTTGTAAGATCATCTCATGTTCTAGTTTTATCGCTTTTGAGTACTTTACAGTTGGAACCTTAACATACTAAAGTTTACCCCCCACCCCCCAAAAAAGCCAAAAATCTGCAACGCAGACTTTAAAATCTGCTTTCACTTGTTAGATGCATATTACTTGACTATTAATGAATAGTAATTTTCATTTTTTTAAAAAAAAAAGGCTGGTGTCTTTGATTTGAGATGATATGCTAATGTCTGAGAACAACATGTAATTTCAACATTATTTTTAAGATACAAGCTATGAAAACAAATAATGTTTTACCATACAAATAGCAGTGTCCAACCAGGAAACTAAAAAATGAAACAAATGTTTTGTTTATTCATTACTTGTGAGTTTAATGTGACAGCAGTATTATCATTACAAAAACAATGCCAGACCATATTTGGAAGTGTAAAAATCCAACAATATTTGCAACATTATATACTGAACTGATAAACCGATATTGTATGGTAGGTCATTTACTTTTGCAGGGTTTACTAGCATGGGGCCCCTGTGAAAATGATAAAAAGTGAATTTAAAATGCTACTATTTAACTTAAGATAATGTCTTTCTATGAATTTCTAGGTCCTCCATCACAGCTCTTTGGTCAATTTCTGATGGTCGTGTTAGAGATTCCCTAGAGAGACCATATTAATCAAATCCACCCAAATTAAACCTGAAACTGTGGAGGGCCAAGTGCATTTAAATTTTCCAGACACTTCTGTCAAAGGGCTGGTTCATACATGCATGTTTCAAATATATTAACAGGGTCCTTCCTGACTATCTTCACACACAGATCTGTGTGGAGAATTGTCAAGGTAAGCTAAATGGTACTCAGGTAAAGCTTGAAACAGCACGTAATGAGTCTGTTAAGGCAGCTAGAACAATTAAAATCATATAAATACATTAATGGCTGGGTGCAGTGACTCTGCTGTGGATCCAGCTGTGCGTGATCCTGACTCCCCTCAGCAGCTGAGTCATGACTATTTTGGTCATGTAGACATGGCCTTAGCTGAGTTTGGACACTTGCATCTTGACTTGGGGAACAAACATTGTTTGTTGCCACACCTCAGGCAGCAAAATATATTGGGCAGGTTCTAACATTGCATTGGGCAGCCAATGTTTGCTATTAGCAAGTTCTAAGATAACTTTGGGAGCCCCCGGTGGCGCAGTGGGTTAAAGCACTGAGCTGCTGAGCTTGTTGATCGAAAGGTCGCAGGTTCGATTCCGGGGAGCGGCGTGAGCTTCTGCTGTCAGCCCTAGCTTCTGCCAACCTAGCAGTTTGAAAATATGCAAATGTGAGTAGATCAATAGGTACCGCTCCGGCAGGAAGGTAATGGCACTCCATGCAGTCATGCCGGCCACATGACCTTGGAGGTGTCTACGGACAACGCTGGCTCTTCGGCTTAGAAATGGAGATGAGCACCAACCCCCAGAGTCAGACACGACTGGACTTAATGTCAGGGGACTACCTTTACCTTACCTTTAAGATAACTTTAGCATTTAAAGTGAGACTGTATAGGGTGAGCTGATAAAAGCAGGAGCACATTAAAGATAAGAATAAAGGAAAAGCCAGCCTTGTGATTCATCAAGTGATATTATGACAGGCCATCAGCTTTTTCTTTTGCCTCTACTTTGGGAAGAAGGCTATAATAGCAAGATATCAGCACAAACAAAGGAGATGCTATTTTACCATAATGCAACAACATCATGTCAAAACTCACACTTCTGGGTAGGGAAATGGCAACCTTCCAAATGTTGGAATGCATCTTCAAAGATCCCTCACTATGGATGATGTTGGTTTGGCCTGATAGGAATTGCAGTTCAAAAACATATGGAGCTTGCAGGCATTTTGTCTAACCTTCCCACATGGTGCTTACAGAGCATCATTTCTGCCTGTACCATCACCTTGTGGCATTTTTGATATAGGGTTCCGAATGTCCTTGTACCCAGCATCTGAAGCGGCTTATTACCAGGCAATTCTTCATTGGGTGTTCTGTCAACAAACAATGCTACTGTTTCCCAAACAGTTGTATTTGGACCAATCTGTGAATTTCTTCATGATGTGGAATCATAGCAGAATTTTCAAAATTTGCAAATTATTCAGAATCTGTTCAGCAGGAAAAAAAGTAGATGACTTTGCACATTAATCATCTTGTTGTGTCACATTTTTTTCTTCCATGGTTCTTTCATACATGTCTACAGTTCAAAGCTAATGTTTTCACTTCAGTTTTGGACATTGCACAGATGGTACCACCACTATTTCAAGGGGGACAATTCGTTCTCTAAGAATGAGAGCTGCTATTGAAACCTAAAGTCCTGATGTGTTATGATTGGCACACAGCATATGATGCACATTTGAACAACATACTCACCATGAAAAGTCACTCATTGTGAATTCAATATATTAATAGGACCGTGAGAATTGACCTAAACAAATAAAGTGATACTTGAATGGATTTAAAGCAGGGGTGGAGATCAGCTGTCCCCCCCTCCCCCCAGCACCAAACCTTACTGAATTGTATGTCTCAACAGATCATAGCCGTAAGCTCAGAGATAGAACCCAATAACTTCTGAATTTTGGCTTAAACGGTTGGAATGAGACTCAGTATTTTAGAAATAAGTTGCTAAAAGAGGAGATGAATCTGTAAATTTATTTCATTTCATTACATTTATAAAGATTATATTAGATTCATTTAAATAAGAGCATATTCCCATTATCAGTAGGAGAATACAGTAGGTCATATTTAAGATTTTCAACACTACATTTATTTTAGAGCTTTGTTTATGGGATAATATCCCGCTGTCATAGAGAAACTGTAAAAGATGCAAACAAAATTATTATATTCATGTTAAATTTTCCATTTATTAAAGAGAAGAGCAAGGCCCTAAAACAGGGAGCAAATACCCCACAACTTTAGATACAGTCACAATTCTGTCCCGATGATTACATCTTGAGCCCAACTTCCACTCTCAAACCTAATGTATAAGGCTGGTGCCTTTGTCAGTGGGTGTTTGCTGAATGAAGGAGCTTCCAGCTCTCTTCCAACACCAAGGTAAAGAACTCTGGAGCTGTCACAATGCATATCACTGCCTGTAGAAGGTTGGAAGCATTGTCACTCACTACTTCATTCCTTAGCACTTCTGAAAACTCTCAATTGGCAGAGAAGCTAGACTTATATTGTGGGCTCAGGGAAGGGCTTTGATTATTGACTAAACAGGATCCCAACTAATGCTTTTACTATCTATTTGTAATGTTGGTCTCATTACTTCAATTGTATACAGCAATTGCATGCAAGTCTATCTAGCAATCAGTATCAAAGTGATTGAGAGAAAGATGGCAACATAAGCTTTCATAAAAATCCATATCTTAGGAAGTCGACTTAGAGTAAGCTTATACTGGTTGGTAAACCTGGGGGCAGTCCAGAGCAGAAATGAGCCAGACTGGTCCCGAGTTGGCCACATACACTCTCCCAAACCCACTGTGGTGGTGGGTTAGAATCCACACAGTTTAACTGTGTTGGCCCCACTGGACTTCTCACCTCACCCTGTGTTTAACATTCACCTCTCCACACCAGCTACAGACCTCAGTTGATGTCAGAACAGGTGCAGGGAAAAGGTGATGATTGTGATGTCCTGTGTGGACAGTTGATTAGTCTGAATCATACTGCCACAAATCTGCAAGATACTCCAGAGCACCTCCCGGCTTGGTCTGAAGTGGGGCAAAATTGGCTTAACCCAGGATAATACTTAACCCATCAATACTCAATATAAGTGACATCATAACACAGTCAGCAGCCAACTCGGAGTGTGTTCGGGTTTTCATGCTAGTGTAGACTAACCCACACAGACAAGTTCTTTCACTACTAACTTATTTATCTGAAGTTCTACAAGATCCCTCTGCAAAATTATACTCCGGACTAACATTACTATGTCTATTAATTCTATCTGGCAATAACATTATTGAACACAGTAAGTTTTGTTCATCTCCATGAGAACAGATAGAACTTCATTTTCAATCTGCCATTTATATTTCTATAGATGTTTACTTCAAAGTTGATCTAATTCAATGGGATTTATACCTAAATAAGTGAATATTTGATTGAAGCCTAAATCCAATTGTGAAACCCAAAGGAGACCCATTGAAACAATTGGAAGTTGATAATTCAATAGTACATTCCATTGATTTAATTGTAGATTGGACAAGCAATTGGATTTAGGTCTGTACATTTTAAACTTTAAAAACCTGTTTACATGTAAGCACTGTCCTTATCACTTCAAGTCTCCAAATTTGTAATCGTTGGTAATTTTTCAGATATTACACAGGGTTGGTCAGAGCCAAAGCATATACTTAAAGAAAACTTCCTGAAAAAAAAAAGATGGGAACATGTTTACTAGGTTCATACTACTATTTTTCAAGCTCAATGTTAGTGGAAATTAATTAAAATTTAGCAAAATGTGTTTGGAATGTACTTGCTGTTTGTATCATGCCTATGTATATGTCTGGTTTTTTAAAAAACTATTTTCATTCTACATGAATTTCAACTTTGCTAATAAAAGTTTGAGTTGATGTAATAATCAAAACCCTGAAAAGAAATCAGAGTTTATGTTGATGTCATCTTAACTAGCAATATATGAAATATATTGGGGGGGGGGGGGTAGGTTCCTGAATCACACCATTTATACCAAGACTGTCCATTCCATTCAATCTCAAAGTCTTAGACCAGGATTTGGTCTGAGTGGTTTTATTTTATTTAATTCATCTGGGATTCAAGCTTTGACCTCATCTTTGTAATTTATGGTTTTAAGTTGCCTCAGGATAGTCCTGGATAGAGTTTTAGATTTTGGAGTATTGTGAATTTCAGAAGGCATGCTCAACCTGTACAACTACAATCGCTACTGATGTTACTACTAAAGCCCAGAATCTTACACAACCATTATGACAGTTACATATGTACAATCCCTATGTAGCCACCCAGTCATCACTTATTGGGCAGCCATCACTGCAATCAATGAGAAAGGACTCTATTTCCTGTCTCTCAGGAAGCAGCCAAGCAACATCCTTGCATGAGCAGATTTTGATGTGAGACAGAATTGTGACATGAACTCTGTTTCTGACTATATTAATGGAGATTGCTCATGGGAGAAGTTGGAAGCATCAGCCAGATGTTTCGCTAGTTGTAGGGGAATGGACCCCCTTCAATTACAGCTGCTGCTGCCTAATCACTGGAGACTGGGAGCGGGGGGGAGAGATTAAATTGAAATTCAGTGTTAAGCAACTACAGTGTTCACATATACTAAATACCATAAAGATTACCAACTAACAATAGCAGTAACATTTGGATAGAACTGTCATTTAAAAACATTTTCTAGAAAAAAAATCTCAATAGCTAAAATCTTATATGAAGCAAGAGAAACATAAGACATTGCCCTCATGCTCCTGTGGTCAAACCCTATAAGGAGCCTCTTTTGTATCTTAGAGTACATTTCCTGATAACATCACCACCTTCATCAGGTAAATATCCCATTCGGGATGTTATAAATGTAGCTTGGAAAGGGATTACATTTCCAGGGAGACCTCAAGGGCATTTGAAAGGCTGCAATTACTATTCATATTCCTGATATAATAAGATTTATACTTTTCTTATTATCCGATTGGGGAGAAAAACCTTACAATCATGTGCTTCACTGGACTGAGGATAAAGATGCTTTTGCCACATTCAGGTATGGAAGTTATAGAGGTTTGGATTCATGATACTATTCAATGCTTCATGACATACAAAAACCATAAAAAGGAGGATCAATGACAACAGAAAGCCATGCATCAATGATTCGAGATTAGGAATGCAAAATGAAGCCACATGATCCAAACAAGTAAAAACTGGATATAGCTAAAAGATGTGATGCAGACACAACTCTCATTGATGAGAATGAAAAAATAATTTTCCCTAAAAAATTCTAGCAATGTAATGAGGGAGACATAAAAAAGCTAATCACAACTAGAATGTTTCTAAACCCCCCCCCCCCCACGATCAAATTCCATCAAGAAAAGTCTAGGCATCGTGATTGCCCCTTAACCCCTGAAATAACGAGACAGACAACAAAGGTATGGATTCAAATTGGGCAACTTTTATTGAATGTTACCTATTTAACTTTACCTGAACTAAACTAAGTGTCAAGGAACTTGGTGGCAAGCTGAGGCAGCGTCCCCAGCTACTTTGTAAGTGATGTCTGTGTGCCCTGGATCCCCAACCGGGCAACCTGAAGGTAAAATTTGGAGAAGCCTGTGTCCGATTATTGTTAACAGCTTCTCTCTTTACTGGGCCAATTGATGTCCCCTCACCCATTTGTTGACTTTTAGGTGAGTGTTTGTTATACAGTGCCCCCCACCCTTAATGGGTGCCATGTGTATACCTCCATGTCAGTGTTTTCCTGAACTATTTATGCTGGCCTAGTTAAACCAAACCACTCCATCTAGCCCCTAATAACAGTATAGGGTAGGCGAAAAAACCCCCCAGAACATGAGAGGCAAAAAATTCCTACCCGGCTCCAACGGGCAACCAAATATACTGTCAACGGGCGGGAGTGGCGGGCGAAAGGTCTGACAAGACTGAAGGACGGAGGCTGGCTGACGTGGTTAGCCAGCCCTGCCCTTCTTCTCGGAGGTTCTAACAGGAACCTCCCATTCTCTCTCTTCAGGGGGTGGGGCAAATCGCTCTCCCCCCCAACTTGTTGGAGTGGAGAGTCCCTTGCCCCTTAACCCCTGAAATAACGAGACAGACAACAAATGTATGGATTCAAATTGGGCAACTTTTATTGAATGTTGCCTATTTAACTTTACCTGAACGAAACTACGTGTCAAGGAACTTGGTGGCAAGCTGAGGCAGCGTCCCCAGCTACTTAGTGTGTGATGTCTGTGTGCCCTGGATCCCCAACCGGGCAACCTGAAGGTAAAATCTGGAGAAGCCTGTGTCCGATTATTGTTAACAGCTTCTCTCTTTACTGGGCCAATTGATGTCCCCTCACCCATTTGTTGACTTTTAGGTGAGTGTTTGTTATACAGTGCCCCCCACCCTTAATGGGTGCCATGTGTATACCTCCATGTCAATGTTTTCCTGAACTATTTATGCCACAGATTGGGGGCAAATGTCCATTTCGCCCCCATCCCCCACCAAGCCCCTCAACACTTCCTGAATGCCTAACTGCAAATCAGCTAAAAATTGTGAGTTACCCAAGTCTGTTAAATGTACGCCATCTGAACGGTAGAACTGTGTTTTGTCATGCGTGATGTCCTTATGTGGAATGTAAGACCCTCTGCCCCGTGCTAACGCAGTGCGCATGGCCCGGTTCACACGCTTTCTGGCCTTCTCGAGCTTCCTGACGTCACCGCCTCCTGGCCACCGAAGGCGTGGAATGATGGCCGACCAAGCGATGTGAACCCCGGGCCATGCCTGCCAGATCTTCAAAATGTCAGCACGGGCTTGTAGATACAAGGCCCTGCCGTTAAGCAGGCCAAGATCATTACCTCCAATATGGAGCACCAAAACATCAGGAGTGGGCCTGCTCCTGTCCTGGAACAAAAGGGGACTAAACCGTCCCAACGAAGGCCCCGAACACCCTTCCACTCGACCAATGCAGTGGAAGCGCAACCCAGATGCTGGCCAAAGGACGAGTTCCTGGCGTATCTCTCCGCCCAGTGGACATAACTATGCCCACAAACAAGGATTCTCCATCTATGCGCCAGCCTGGCAGTCTCTGAAAGATAAACAACAAACTCAAACAAGTACCGAGCGAACATATCGCCTGTAAGCGCCCGATTTCCACCTGCCAATTGATTTAATGGCCTCCACATTGTAACCCATATGAGCTGCTGAAGATGCCGCCCCAATTCGAAAAGAGTGAGTGCCAAATTTGTGGGAACCCAACCCCAGCATCTCCAACGCCCTAGAAGTGATGGCCCAAAACTGGTATTTAGTAAGGGGGGTGGAATCCTGATGGCAAAACAAATATTTCCCCGCCTGAGCTCTAACTTGAACGAACTGTGCCATAGCCGAAACAGGGCAAAGCTCAGGGTCACTGCATTTGGCTAATGTAAGCACAGCGCCCTTCGCTTGCTGGTCCGTCTTGGACGAACGGACTACAATTTGGAGGGTGTCATGCGCTAGCCTTATATCTGACAACAGCAATGCCCGCAGAGAGAAATCTCTCTTTGACATGGCCAGTAACTCGCTTATCCTAAGAGCAGCGAAAAAGGCCGTCAAGGCCGCCGCGTGGAATAACCGCTGCTCATACTCCGACCTACACACTCTGGGCCATGTACCCCTTAATCCTTTCAAAATTGTGGGCGACAATGGTTCCCTTTTATCAAGCGATGGTCCCCGTTGACGTGCCCAACCCGCAATGATTTTGTGTAAGCAAAAATCATTTGTGGGATCTGAAAGACCCTGTGCTTTCGACCAATAGGCCAACGCCGACAACTGGGACTTAATGGTGTGCGGCGCTAGGCCCCTTCTGTGCGAGTACACACAAAATTGAACCAAATGTTCGTAAGGAATCGGTACTGTAAACGGTAACCGGTAAAACCGCCTAAAATCGTGGAACTCCTCAACCACCCTCAGGTAAGACTTCCGAGAACTTGGGGCTAATGCTAAAGCCATACCCATCACCGCCTCGTCCCTCCAACCTGCCAAAGATGGCCTGGCATACGCTGTGGATGAACGTCGGCGTTGGGCGCGAGTTGTCTGAAGCGCTCCATCTGCCAACGAGATAGAGCGTCAGCCAAAGAATTGTCTACTCCCGCTATGTGAAAGGCTTTAAACAATATGTTATTCCTCAAGCAATGCAATGTGAACTGCCTGAGCGCCCCCATCACCCTATTGGATTTTGATGTCAAAGTATTAATAACCTGAACGGTGGCAAGGTTATCGCACCAAAAATGAACTGTCGAATTGGCAAAAGCCTCGACCCATATTGTAACAGCCACAAGTATGGGAAAAAATTCTAAAAACGTTAGATCCGCTGTAATCCCCTGCGCGTGCCAACTGTCTGGCCAGACTTCGGCACACCAGTGTCCCTGAAAAAACACCCCAAAACCAACTGCGCCTGATGCATCGGACGCTACTTTAAGAGCGTCCTGCAGCCTTAACTCCTGCCTCCAAAATGAAACCCCATTAAAACCTTCCAAAAATTTCAGCCAAATGGCCAGGTCCTCCCTAACTGAACGAGTAACCCTAATCCTATGATGGGGCATTTTAACTCCTGCTATGGCATTACATAGCCTACGTAGAAAAGCCCTCCCCGGGGCAACCACCCTACAGGCAAAATTTAAATGGCCAATTAACTCCTGAAATTCTTTTAGAGTGGCCTTCCTACGATACAAAAACTGTTGAACCCTGTCCATCAAGTCTGCCACTTTATTAGGAGGCAACCTGGAATATTGCTGCACCGTATCCACTTCAATCCCCAGAAAAGTCAAAATTGTCGACGGGCCTTCCGTTTTTTCTTCCGCCAAGGGAACCCCTAATTCCTGCGCTAGCCCCTGAAATGACTCGAGCAACTCCTTGCAATTGCCCGACCCG